ATATATGGAAATCCAAAAGCCAGTTTAATCACCAGCTTTTTGCCAGGCTACATTGTGTTCCCTTTGGGGAGCTGGGTAAGAAAAATACATTGTTAGAGAAAATAATTTATGTAATTAAAGGCCATAGTTAGTCCTTGTTGATTATGTAGATTATGTAGATATAATTCCATGAATAAGTAGGTTGATGTTTTTCATTTTAGTTGCTTATATGGAGAGCGTAGGAGTAAGAGTTACACCTCTTGGATAGTCTAACTCGTAAGTGCTTTTTAACTCTTTCCTTCCTCCCAGTGTTGAGATGATTTAATCCATGATGATTTAATATTAATATGTAGGGAGTGGTAGTATGTATGTTTTCGTTTCATTTAGAAATATCCCTTCCTCTCTGGAGGCCCTGTGCACACACACCACCAAGTGTACATTAAGTGATTATTAGAGAGATAAATTTACAGAAACAAATCCATAGTTGAGGGGAAAGCCTCCTGTTTCCTCAGGTGGTGACCCACAGCAGGATACTTGGTGAGAAAATTATTCAGATCTGTTCCCCACTGCACATGGTTCATTTGAGATGTGTCCTCCACCCCCTAAGTCACATTTGAATTTCCTCTTTAGTGTTTAGTGCTGTTTTCATAAAAAAAAAAAAATTGAGACAGTTAAACTACATACACTGTTCTGAAATTACCAGTGGGAAAACTGAACTTTTAGCTTCAAACGTTAGCTCCAAAAATGAAAGTGAGTTCAGTTCTACAGATTCTTTTCTGCTGTACTCTCGGTTTAGACTGTTCAGTCATCTCTCTGCTTATACTCTTATCTAGCCTGCTCTAGGCTCGGTTCAATGGTGAATAACCTCATAGTTTACCCTAGCCTGAAGTGGTAACCCTGAAGGAAAGGATGAATACCATTAGGTGACCCAAGGTAAAGAAAAAAAAAAGATGGATAACAGCTGAGATGTTTCCTTCTCTGGCAGACTATACTCTTGCTGAAAAGTACATAGCTTCCTGAGGAGTATACGTTTTCGAATCTGAAACCTGGTGTTTGCAATTGCTCGTAGAATTTATAGCTAGTGGGATTCCATTTCTAACTCCCCCATAATTCTCTGAAAGTGGATAATCCGTAGATGTGGAAGGAAGCAGAATCAGGTGCTGCTTTGAATTTGGAGCCCTGAGGTATTGTCTGATGAGGTAAAGTCATTTGTTTCTGCTGAATTATCCTTTATAAATTCAGAGATTCCTAGAAAATTAGATCAAGAAAAGGACTTTTAAGATATTCTCTTAGTCCACTCATTTTACAGAGGTGAGAACTGAGCCCCTGAGAATAGCCTAGAAACCCTGGTTCCATGAAGGAAATTACTATTTGTGCTCTGGAGCCAGTTTCAGCTCTAGGCCAACCAGGTTGTCCTTGGTTTACCACCCACTTGATTATGTGCGTGAGAAAAAAAAAGGGAGAGGGGATTGGACACTGCTTTTGTTGAATATTTGGAGAAGAAAAATTGCTTGAGGTGGAATGAACCTTTTCCCTGTGCTCTGAAGAACCATTCTAGGAAGTATGGAAGACTTAATCTGTTTCAGAAATGAGAAAAAACAAAATAGCTACTGTGTGGTGTTAGCTGTGTCTGTGCAGTTCAGGACAGCTCTTTCTTTCATCATGACGTTTTTAATATAACCTGGAGAAATGAAGTCACCATGATGAGCAAGCCAAGAGACCTCTTCCCCACCCCCACTTATTCAAACTGGGGCTTTGAGTTTGGAGGAGTGGGCGGCTGCCAGGAATTAGGTGCAGGCCAGCCTCTGGCTTGGAATCCTGGATTCGGTGGAGTAGGAAAGTGCTCCCTGATTGGCAACAAACTTCTCCCACAGTGGTCTCTGGAAGTCCCCGCGTCGGGGAGCTGGGTCAGAGCTGCTAGAATATGACAGGACTGGATGGTGTCAGGTCACATTCACATTGTCTGGCATTGGTTGCTTAGGGAAGCTGACAAATTCTGGCTTTGCTTTGCTTACTTGTAATCAGCAGAAAATGAGTTTTGGGAGAAAGCTTTCCATTGAGTTACAGGAGACGAAATGCATGAAGGCCCAATCTTTCTTAATAGATAAGAAACAGCCATTTTACAGAGCCCCAAAGCAGCAGCAGCAGCCAGGATAGCAGGAATATGACCCTTAGGGCTTTTCCGGGAACATTTGTACTGGGTAGCACCTCAGTCAGACAGAGAGCCACAGGATACAGGCCTCTAATTTCACTGTCCTGGAAGTCCTTGGCAAGTCAAGTCGTATGTCTCATCAGAAAAGGAAGAAAACAGAACTTGGCTTTGGGCTTCTAATTAGGGCCAGGCGGGGAGTTTGGTGCCGGTCTCGCCCCACAGAGCCCTGGCCTCATTCATTTCCCAAGCGCCCCATGCAGCTGGGTTCTTGGAATGCTTGTTACTAGCGCTGCCTAAATTTGAGTTTTCTCTGGTTGGTGGTGACAACAGGTATGCGGCAACTGGCCCTCGGAAATTTAACTTTGGGTTTTGGCCTCAAAAGTGCTTCAGGCTCTGACCTTCCTGACCCGTAAGGCTATTTGTTCTTGATAATGCGGGGCACTGCAGAGACAGCGAGAGCCTCACGGAGTTGGCCTTTGCTGCAATGAGCGTAGGCTCGTGCGATTGAGTTCTTTCTGCTTCCAGCCAGAACAGGCTAAAGACAGCTTGGGCTCTTCCCTACCTTCGCTGAACTCACCCCGACCCGTCAGACCGACACGTTGCTCCCGTATGTGTCTTTTTTCCTTTTGGCCGATAACAGTTTAATCAAGGACGGAAGGCCCTCCGGAGGGGATCTTGGCTGAGGGAGGAGGCGCAGAAAGCAGCTGGTTAATTGATCATCTGCCTGAAAGACTTAATGAGACAGGATATGAAGAGGCGGAGAGGGGAGGACTGGCAGTTCCGAAGTGCTCCCCTCTCCTTCCCTCCCCTTCCCTCCCCCTTTCACTCCCTCGCTCTCGCTCCCCTATCGCCTGGTGGAGCCAACTTCAAATGCAGAGCCTTGGGCACTTTTAGGGAGTCTGGCAGTCATCAGCCCAAGGGGGAGCGACTGAGCTGCAGGACCTCAGCTTGAAGGGGAGGCTGAGGCGGGGACCCTCTGCGGAGCACGGTCTTTCGGGGACCATGCTTCGAGCCTGCTCTGCCTGAGTAGGGGGTCCTGAGGGGGACCTGGCTCCTAGAGAGCCCCAATGGTGAGCGGGGACCCCATCTGAGGTTTGGGGGGGTGGTGAGAGCCCTGGAATGAGTCTTGAAAGAAGGGGGCTGGGTTGAGGTTGGGGAATCAGGCTGTTAGGTTCGGGTAAGAAGCAGGAAACCTTGACTGTTTAGGGGTCTGGAAAAAAGGACCCCTAGCTGGAACTTTGGAACACTGAGATGCAGCCTGGAGAAAAGATGGACTCTGGCTGAGGTTTGAGAGTTGAGAGCCCTTATAAGCACCCCAGGTTTTGTGTGTTTGAGGCCTGAGTATACTCCTTGGTGGACTAATCCCAGAAAACAGGTTTGAGGAACTTGAGGTTGGGAGAAATAGACTTTTTTAAAGTGTTCAGTTTTTCGTTTCCTTTCCTGTTACCCTTTGGGAAACTCCCTACAATGGTTCCTGTAACCCAGCAGGAGCCCCAGGGCCCCTTTCCTGGCTAACAAATTGGCTTGTGGAAGGTCTTGTGGGGAGGAGAGGGGGTTGGGTACAGACTCAGACCTTCTCTGGGAATGGATTCTCTGGCCTCCAGGGTACAGTGCAAACAGTGTATAGTGAAGCCTGGTGGGCTGGGAGGGGGGGGATCTAAAGTGCCTCCAGACTATAGGGATGCATGTGTATATAAGTCTGTGTTGAGGTGTGTGGGGAGTACATAATTTGGGTGCACAAGAGAAGAAGCACAGCACCAGACTATATACCCTTGGAATCCACTGGAGCTGCCCCTAACTGCCAACTGCCTCCCTCTGAGTAGGTTGAACAAAGAACCAGGACGTAGCTGTGTTTCTTTCTTCTCTCCTATATGTAACAGGCTCTCAAGGTATAGTGTCTCTCATGAAATAAACCTGTTCTACCTAACAGGCTACAGCCTCAGCAAGATCTCACTGAGAACAGAGATTGCACATCCAAGGTCACCTTATCCAGCACTTTGCTTTCAGGAAGCTTGCATTGTCCCCTCTGTAGGCAGATGTCCTGTTCTTCCCCATTTTCTTGTGGGAAACCTTGTCCGATTATCCTAACATGGCTTCTCCAGAGGATCTGAATGCACTTGTGTGGTTGAACAGGGTTTAATTTCTCTACAGAGGACCAGAAACATTCATCCTTTCACCCACTAACTCATTCCCACTGACCAAATTTTCCAACCTACCTGCTCTCTCATTCACCAAAATGTTCATTCACTCAGAAATGTTCCTTCCCTTTCATCCAAACTACTCACCTACTCACCCACTTGCTGCCTCTGCTCTTGGTCTTGGCACAAAGTCATGTGTCCTGAGGAAGCCTGAGGAGACCTGTTTAGATCCTAATAGTAACCTTCCTGATTCCTAATTTCTCCAGTGTTAGAGGTAAGAGGAGGACTCCCAACTGTGCTTTGTGACCTCCGATGCCTGTAATTATTGAAAAGTTGAGGCACTGGTAGGTTGGGAGACCAGTTTAGAGGGGACTCAGGAGAAAGATGCTTCTCAGATGTTTTGGCTTTGGAGGTGGAGTGTTGGGAGGGGATCCTGGGGAGCTGATTATTCTATTTGGCCCTGAAGTGCACCGCATCTCCATTTTTCAAGCTGTGGCAGTCTGGTGTAGCATGGGTAATTCACAGGGTACAATGTATCCAGATTCCAATTTGCCTCTGGAGTATCCCTTATGAGTTTCCCGGCATGTTTCCAGTTTTTATTCTGTGGTCCAGGAGGGCCGGTATCTTAATGTTGATCTGGAAGTAATAATGATAATAAGTAGATCATGGAGATGCAACTGAACAGCATCTTAGCAGAGACCTCAGTTGGATCCCACATTTGGTAACAGAGAATAATGATTTGGGGAGAGAGGGGAATGGCAGCTGAAGAACACATCCGTGGATGTATACTCACATACTCACATCCTTGGTTGTTCTAGTGACCCTTGCACTTACCAGGCAGTAAGAGGAGAAGTACACACAAGAGACTTCATCACTACCACCCTCCAAATTCTCCCAGAGCTGCAGGGTGGATGTGACAGGGTCTATCACTGTGAATTTTCAGGGAATGGATGGGAGGATGCAGGATGCTATGACTGGGGAGGTATGACTGAGTGGAGTGGTGAATTGACTGTCACACGGACTTGGTGAGATGATCCACCGGCGATGCTGGGCCCCACCTGGAGAGATGGAGGGTGGTGGTGGGAGAGGGTGAGGTCAGAGAAGGGGCGAGTTCATCCAGGTGGCTGGTGCTGGGGGCTGGATCACGGCCTCTATGAACCCCGAGACCCGGCTTCCACTCAGGTGCTTGCCAAGCCTGCTTTCTGTGTGCTGCTCCTGTCTATACTGGGCTCGGCTCTGGGGCGCGGCGGCAGGCGCAGGGACTGCAACGTGCCCGACGTGCTTCGGCATTACCGCGCGGTCATCTTCGAAGAGTTGCAGGCGGTGGTGAGCGAAAACCCCGCCAGGATTGGCTTTTCTTGGGGAGGGATATGGGATGTGGGATCAGTACCTGCAGCCGGGGAGCTGCTCCTGGGAATGGGATAGGGGGGTCGCAAGAACGCCGTATTCAGGCTTGTTGGGGAGGGGCAAGGGTCACTCCACAAGTCCCTTCTTTGATTTTATCCAGAAAAACTTGACGGGCACCGGGGCTCTCAGGCGCCGGGGACGAGGCGCCTCCTGCCGGGCAGAAAAGGTAACTGGATGCGCCCCTTCTCATAGAAGGGTTCTTGCCCCACCCCGTCAGTTTGAAAGGAGTTGGAACTCTTCCAGGACTGGGGGCTGGAATGCGGGAGCAGGGGCGGAGCAGGGTTGACGAGAGCGAAACTAGACCCATTGCTGCTGCAGTCTCTTTCTCCTTGCCCCCCAGGAGCACCGCATCTTGATGTCTATCTCATCCATGGGACGGGCTCTGCGCAAGGCAGTGGCAGGGGCCGGGGCTGGACCCGGACGCCGCCGCGGAGCCCTGGAGAAGGCCGTGTGGACAGTGGCCATGCACACTGAGGCAGTGACCCGAGAGTACTGCGGGACTCTGCATCAGGTCCGTCCCCGCCCCTCACTCCCAACCCAGGAGGGACCTTCTCTACTCAGAGCAGAGGTCGCAGTTAACTTGTGAGGAGCCTTCTTGTCCCTCAAAGGGTCACCTGGACAGGGATCCCTCACGGCTTTGCCCGCGATTTTTCCGGAGAACAGCAGTGTGGGGCTGCATGTAGGACAGGGATGAGGGTTGGGAGAAGAGGGGGCACCAGAGGCTCCCACTGACCCTCTCCTTGTCACTGTCCCCACTGTCAGCGAAGCCAGAAGCGGCTGAGCCAGGAGTGGCAGGAGCGGAAGCGGGGTCCGGAGATGGAGCCAGAGCTGAACCTGGAGCCGGCCCTTGCCCCGGGTCGGAGTCGGGGTCGGGGTCAGAGACGGCGTCTGTTGGGAGCCGTGGAACACTTGGCTGCCTGTTGGGAGAAATTGTTTTTTCTGCGCTCCCTGGCTTCGGCCGCCGGGAGCTATTAGGGAGAAGGAATGGGGGTGGGGGGTGGGGAGGTTCGTGGTGTGTCCTCCTCCGTGCCCCGGGCCTCAGTCTCTGAGGCTTTCTGGGCTGGAGAAAGGGAAGGGTCTGCCCTATGTCTTCCCCCTACCAAGTCCTCTCTCCTTTCACCAATGTTCTCCATAAGTGGCTGGATGTGTGGGCGGGGAGAGTGGAAAGGAAAATTCCCTCTTTCTGCACTTCGGCTCCAAGAAGTCCTGGGGTTGGGGCGGGGGGGGCGGGGCTTTAAGGCTAAACAGGCCTTTTTTACGCGTCACTATCCACATCTATGCTCCCTCGGCTGAGTTCACCCCTTGAATTGGGGTGAAGGTGGAGAGATGGAGACTCGGAGCAGCAGTTTAGTGTCCCTGGAACTTTATTAGCAATTTACACTTTTGTATATTACCCGAATACAGGCAGAGGTGCGAGGGGGAGGGGTCGGGGGTGTGTGTGATGGTGGTGCGGGGAAGGGGAGGCGGTGCGATTATGGTGCTAAAAGTGATATTTGTGGGGTTGACCTGTTTTAATGCACTTCCCCAATCCCACACTGGAGGCTTTCTGGACCCACACCCTTCAGAGCCCACGCTAAAGCTGAACCTCTTTACTGTCTGGCGCTGGCAGCCCAGCCAGCTATTTTCTCCAAAGACCTGGCCCTCGGCAAGGTACATATACCCCTATCTGAGACCTCAGAGGTGGGTGGATGCTAGGACCAAGGAGGGTTGCGGAAGGGATAAAGGTCATTGGATAGCGACCAGGTGTCGGATTTAGAGACACAAGGCAAGAGCTGGGGCTTCTGGGACAATTTGAAGAAAATGAAGAAAAATCTCACTCGGGCCCTTCATCTTGTTAACTTGATAAATGTTTTATGAACCTTTTTCCTCCACTGCAAGAGTCCTTTCCCTGTTCCACCTGATGCTTGGAGTCCCAAGAGAAAATAGGTCTATAGTTGGGGGAATGCCTCACTGTTAGCCTGAGTGTGTGTCTGTCAGGCTCGAATTTCCAGCGACTACTATGAAAATCCTTCCTCCTCATCCCCATCCTCAACACCTCTGGGAAATAAATGGTATTTGGCTGTAACACCCGGATGTCACCGGGGCAATACTTACCTCAGGCTGGAATTGACCTATTCCTGTACTAACCTGTCCCAGGACTCACTTTCCTGGGCACTAATTTGCCTCAGGTTTTCATCTGCCCAGAATGACCCTTCCAGACATTAATGTATCTAGTGGGAGCCCCTGAGCGGGAGAAGAAGTATACATAGGTCAATCTCATGGAGAGGGAATGACTGACCCTACTCGATTCTGCAGTCCAGACTATTCTATCCCGTAGAGAAGGCAGTAGGGCCCTTATGATTCTGTTGAAAGGAAATAGAAGAGTTAGGGGGCCTCAGTCCCGGGTCTGCTCACCAAGGAGAAAGAGGCCACTCCAAACCTGATCGATTGTCTTCTCTAGTTCTCCATAGTTACTGGTATGAAGATGATAATTTTCAACCAGATGGATCCAGAGACCCTGCTGTCCTTAGAGGCTGTCTGGGGTGGTGATCAAGAACCAAAACTGGGGTTGAACAGCTAGGGGAACAACGTCTGCACAGTAGCTCTGTCCTGGAATCAGATTCTAGGTTTGAACCATGCTGCAGCTTAGGCATTTACACTAGTCTGATCTGTTTTGCTCACACCATGTCTGGATTGACCTCAACTTCCTTGTGACTCCTGCCATGCTCTGCCTCTCCCCCTTTTTATTCCCTCCATCCCAGCTTTCTGTGTTAAGCTTAGTCACAGGGTGTGGACTGCCCTAGTATCTCTGACTTCCCTGTTGGGTTATTAGAATCCTAAGGGAAAGAGGCTCCTCTTCTTCAAATACATACCTCAGTACCTCTCCTGAGTTCCATGAGGAGATTGGAGAACTGCAGATGTCCTATGGAGACTCCATTTAATTCCTGCCTCTATCATCCCCTTCTCACTTCAGTCTTGTTCCATGTCTTTCTCTCTTTCCTTTCTGTGCTTGTCTTGTTTTTCTGGTAAGGGGATACAGTGACTTTTGCAGCAGGGGACAGCTGAACCCCAAACCCTTTCTCCCAGAAAGCCACTTCTGAGGCCTGATACTAGTGATATTCAGTGAGGTTTTCTGGGCATAGACCCTCCCAATTCCCAGAAATAGGTAAGGCTTTCCCACAGTGCAATAGGTATTAGTTATCCTTCTGAGCCTCTCTCCCTATTCCAGACAATTTGGTTTAATGAGGTCCCTTAGCAAACCAGGAAAATATCCTCCGCACTAATAGGAGGTGTCCCCTAAGCCAAACTATCTTGGGCCAGGCTTACCTGGATAGACTGTCCTGGACCAGCTCATGTGAGTGATGCTTTCTTGCATCAGGCTCATCTGGGTTCCCCAGCAATTTCTGAGAGAGAAGGTGTGCATAACCCTTCTTAGACCTACTTCATTCCATTCCTACTCCCTTGGACCTAGACCAGAACAGTCTCCCAGCTGTTTCTAGTGGTCCCAGAGGTCTGAGGAAGTGGGAGGGATATTTTGATTTAGTGCTGGTTCTGACATACAATACAGTGTATTTTCTGGTCCATATCTATGTGTGCTGAGGCCACCAGGGGTCAGTATGGCCTGGGGGTGGGCAAGCTGACCCCAAGGTCCAATTCCTCCCCCACAAAGCCTCCTCTCCTCCCACTCACTCTTCTCCTTTCTCAAGTCTTGGCTATGTTAGTGACCAGCAGGGGGCAGACTTGGGTCACATTGGGCACTTTCTCCTTTAGGAGGCTCTGGAAGATGCTTGACTCAGAGGATCCCAGGACTCCTTGCTTCCAGATCCTATGGCTATCATCTGCCTCTTTGCAGACTTCAGGCTCCTTCCTGACATTGGTCTTTATCTTCCCCCCTTTCCCCATTCCTTCCAGGTTTCCTTTGCCTCCCAGCTATATTTATGGGAAAAGGGTTGGATAGATGGAGAAAGTTGGGACCTGGCCTCCCAATGAGGGACATTCTGATGGGGATGGAGGTTAGGGATATCTTCTGAGGATAGAGTTGAGAGATTGCCACAGTTAAACTATGATGTAGTGAGGTGCTGCTCCAAATTAAAAACTCCTGACCTTATGTGAGTAATACACCAGTTAGAGAAAGGAAGATGCACGGGGGCTGGTCTGACTTCCAAGCAATTATGGAACCACAGAATTTGATAGTTGGAAGGGACTTCTCATTGGCCATCTAGTCCAACTCATACCTGGAAGGAAACCTCCCTATAACATACCCAATAAGTGGGCATCTAGCCTCTTGCTTGAAGGGCAACCCACCCCCTCTTGAGGCAACCCACGCCACTTTTGAATAGATCTAATTGTTAGGTTTTTCCTGACACCAACCTTACATTATACTCTTTGCAGCTTCCACCTTTCACTCATTTGTGTCCTCCTGGGCCAAGCAGAACAAGTCTGACCTATCTACTATGTAATAACCCTTCAACCTTTCCCAGTTAAGATTTGGTGATGATTTTTGCATTCACTAAGTCTCCCTTGTAAACTCAGTACAAGGTCAGGGGAAATTTACAGGCAGCCAGGCTTAACATGGAAGGGGTTATGACTCACAGGATTCTGTTTCCTCTCCTCCTCCAAACCAAAGGGGTTTCCAGGCCCATTTCCCAAGGGGGAGTATGTTTGCAAGTATGTTCATATGTGCCTGTCTGTGCATAGCCATTTCTGTGTTCGACTCAACAGACATTTACTGATGATTATCTGTGTGCTCAGCCCTGCAGGGCACAGTTCTGAGCACTGTGGAAGGGACAGAAGAGTAAGAGATAATGTATTTTTTGAGGTGATTTGTTGTGCTGTGTCTATAGTTCCTTGTCTACTTCTTGATTGGGTGGAGAGGAAATTAGGCAAGCACACAAGTGGATCCATCATCCCCTGGGTCTGAGTGCTCCCGCCCCTCACTGGTGAGGGCCACAAGTTATCTACACATTTTCATCCTGGACAATTCCTGTCCATACATACTCCATGAATTCTATCCAAGTGGATGGAGGATTTCCTTTGGTTCTTTTAACAGATAGCAGTACAATGTTCAGGTTCTACTCCTATTACTCTTTACCACCCTGACTGTCCTAACTCATTTTCAGGTCCTATATCTCTTTGATGATGCCTTCCATGTCACTTCTCAAACAAATAATTGTTGGTAGTACAGTTCCTTTATATGTCTCCATTGGTCTTTTAGATGGTTGGCACTTTTTATTCTTCTGAGTATGTTGTTCCATAATTCACAGTTGGATGATGAAAGGAAGGGAAAAATCATTTAATTAGCACCTGTTGTGTGCTAGGCACTATGCTAAGTGCTGTACAAATAATATCTCCTTTGATCCTCATAATAATCCTTTGAGTTAGGTTCTATTATTTTCCACATTTTTCAGATGAATAAACTGAGTCAGAAAGAGGTTAAATGATTTGGCCAGGATCACACAGCTCGTAAGTGTCTGAAGCCAGATTTGAACTTGAGTCTTCCTGACTCCAGGCCCAATGCCCTGGCCACTGTGCCACCTGCTGCCAGTATTGATGTTGAAAAAAAATGGGGCAGCTTGTGATCATGAAAAGCCCAGAGCAACTTCCCAAATGTGACTGAATTGATCTTCCTTTTCTTTATGAGGCCATCATCCTCTATATGAACTGACTGTCCCATTATTGGGAAAACCTCATCATCCTGCAAGATCCCATCAACCTTGGTCTTCTGCCTCATCATTACTGTATGGCCCTTTGATTAAAGGGTGGAGCTCAGCTCAGGCCTCTTTTCATTTCTCATCTAGCTACACTACTTTGGGACTTCTCTGGCTTCTCCACCATGCACCCCACCAGCCTCCCCTCCTTTTTAGCCTTTTGTGTGTTGTCTTCCCCCACTAGATTGTAAGCTCCTTGAAGGCAGCAACTTTCTTTTTTCATATTTGTATTCCTAGTGCTTAGTACAGTGCAAGGGCACATGGTATATGCTTAATAAACGTTTATTGATTATTGACTGATGGGCTAACTCTTTGGTCTGCTCATCCAACTGCATGCCATAATCTGGGTAATGTGAATTTTTTCATCCACTGGGGTTTTCCATTGTGAAGGTCTAGACTGATGTCTTTTAAGTGACCATGAACTTCACTGAGGAGACCCTGTAGTGTTCTGGGACTCAATGCAATCATTATGATATCATCTTCAAACAGGAATATCCGTAGACTCTTACCTCACATAGGGAATCCCTGTTCTATTTGCACTTTCCACAGATCATTTTCCATAACCCTAGAGAACAAATGACTTCCTGTTTTGTGCCTTGCTTTATGTTAATTTTCGGAGGATCGTTAAGCAAAGTTGTCTTTGTAAATGTTTGTCATGGACTTTTGCGTGATCTTAACATTTGGGGAACCTTTAGGGCAACACTTCATCCTACCTAGTCAAATG